CCTGTCTGAAAATTATCAGAATCTTGGAATCCGCAGCACCTTCTAAGTGCATGTGTGTGTGTCTCTGTTGCTGGAAGAAAGTGAGCACACTTTCCAGGACTTCCTTTGCAAGAGTGGGAAGAGAGAGAGAGACTCCTGGTGTGTTGGGCCAGGTCAGGGGAAAAGGAGCGAGCGTCACTTTCCATAGGACTTCGAGACTTCGTTGCCTACTGTGAGAGAGTGGATGCTGGTGCTCCTAATAAAGGGAACGTTTAGTTAACTACAAAGGGCTTGTCGTGTTTGGGAGCTGGGTCAAAACAGAATCCCTCTCCCCTCCCCCCCCACCACTAATCCACAGAGCCAGAAAAGTTGGGGACCACTGGTGTAGATAGCAAAAGAAATAGCATTTAGATTTATATACCACTTCACAGTGCTTTACAGCCCTCTCTAAGCAGTTTACAGAGTCAGCATATTGCCCCCAACAATCTGGGTCCTCATTCTAGGCAGATGACTGCCTAGAAATTCAGGCAGGTTTGTAGAGCTGTAGACAGTCCTAATCCCAAACATTTAGGGAATATTTATCAATACTTCTATAATGAATACATTAGCATTAGAACAGATACCATCCAGTGTAAATAGCCAGACTTAGTGTTATATTATGTTCAACGTGCTACATTCTCCTGGCTTTCAGTTTGCTCCAACAGCATCCACAGCGGGTCACAAATACAAATACACACAGCATTATAATATCACAAACACTGTCTTTACATACTTGTGTCCTGAGATCTGATGCAGGAACCTAAGTCACAGTATTTACATCAAGATGCATGTTTTATCATTTCGCCCATCGCATCCCTGAAATGTGCTGAAATGTGTTCTAAGCGGGACTGCCTTTAAATATAGTTCAGAAACAATGACACAACCAAATTTTGTCTTATCAAGGCAAACTGAGAAACTTCATACTTAGAAATCTGGAAAATCAAAACAATATAAGAAACCCTTAAAGCAAAATGGCGTAATGCTAAAAAGTCCATGTTTCATTCTGTAAACACAGATGTGTTCATTGATGCCATGAGAAATGGCCTCCCTAAACATTTAAAGATTCTTAAAAGGGAGGAGTTGTTAAAATGCAGGATCCAATCTGGGTCGGTCACTGGGACCAGAGGTTTTATCTTCTGGATTCAGGCTAGAGACCATCTTCAGGGAACTTCTCCAACTTCTTTAACTTCTAGAGAGAAGTTCCCTGAGGATGGGCTCCAGCATGAGTCTGAAAGTTCAGAAGATTAAATCTCTGGTCCCGGTGACCGAGCCAGATTGAATCCTGCAGTGTTATCCTGGGACACGTATTATCGCCTTCATTCGTGTCCTATTAAAATGTGTAATGGGAAAAAATCCTTTTGGCAGTTGGTCTTACCCAGTAGTGGGTTTCACTTACCTCCGCTACTGGTTCGGCACTGAGTGCGTGCATGCTTGCTTTGCTCGTGCATGGTGCACATGCGCACCTTCTGCACATGCGCAGAGCGTCCGTGATGACATCTGGGAAGGTGGATGGAGCCTCCTGCCGCCGCTAACAGTTCACCCGAACCAGGCCGAACTGGTAAAAACCCACCACTGGTCCTACCTCAAAAGGTATTTTCCTAAATAAAGTAACCCCAAATTAGGTTCCATTGCTTTTCTTTGCAAGAGAGCATTATGAGAGAGACATTGCCCATTTTTAAGGAAAGAAGATTACCTTTGCATTGATGGGGAAAAAAAGATAACCATTACAATCCAATTAATGAAGTAAAATGTACCCCAAGAAAGCCATACATATAAATTGCTTCGTGGACATTATTAAAATGACAAGAAATTACTCTTCCACAGGAAAACTACTGTGACATTCTAGTTAATAAGTCTTGTCTTGTATATTGATTTTAAACCAACTCGGTTGTTTTAGTAATGGCTCATACTTACCTTAATTTTCTAAATGGCTTGGAGAGTTTTAAACTATTGCGACAATGAAAGATGAGTTGGGTACAAGCTCTCACAATACAAATTAAGAAGGAGGTTAAGTGAAAGGGGGATAATCTAAAATTAACAAACTAGTTTGGTCTGTGAGCTCTTTTATCCCACAGCTAAAAAAATAATCTGTAGGTCAAAAGGGGGAAATTATCTTTATTGTAAAGTGGGTATTGCTCAGTGATAAATTTACCTGCAGTGCAGTGGTGGGTTTCAAATTTTTTTACTATTGGTTCTGTAGGTGTGGCTTGGTGGGCGTG